TAGGGACATGGATGAATCTGGAAAACATCATCCTCAGCAAACTGACACAAGAACAGAAAATGAAACACCGCATATTCTCACTCATAGGTGGGTGATGAAAAATGAGAACACATGGACACAGAAAGGGGAGTACTAAACACTGGGGTCTATTGGGGGGAAAAGGGGAGGGCCAGTGGGAGGGGGAGGTGGGGAGGGATAGCCTGGGGAGAAATGCCAAATGTGGGTGAAGGGGAGAAGAAAAGCAAAGCACACTGCCATGTGTGTACCTACGCAACTGTCTTGCATGCTCTGCTCATGTACCCCAAAACCTATAATCCAATAAAAAATTAAAAAAAAAAAAAAAACTTTTCTACTTCTTGAGAACCCACAGTTGTTTAACTAGCTTGTCCTGGCTAAAAGATAGGCATGAATTATAAGAATCAGCAGTCAGTCCTCATTGCAGGTATACATCTCCTAAATTTCCCCATGGTGCAGAGAGATGACCAATAATTATAGAAGCATAATTATTATACAATTAGTTGCTACCATAATTATGTTTCTTATAATCACTTTCCATTTTTACCTACTGAGCCAACCTGTCCTTAAGCCAAGCTCAGGTTTCTCCCATTTTTTCAGTTGATTGGACGGTATTTCCCCACAGCCATAGGTGCAATTTGTGTGAGCATCACTGGCCAACAGGGTGAAACCCAGTCTCCACTAGAAATGTAAAAATCAGCTGAGCATGGTGGTGTGTGCCTGTAATCACAGCTACTGGGGAGGCTAAGGCCGAAGAATTGCTTGAACCTGGGAGGTGGAGGTTGCAGTGAGCCAAGATTGTGCCACTGCACTCTAGCTTGGATGACAGAGTGGTGAGACTTCATCTCAAAATGATTGATAGATAGATAGATAGACAGACAGAGAGACAGATAGATAGATAGATAGATAGATAGATAGATAGATAGATAGGAAAAAAGATAAATGTAGCATACTTGTGATTTGAGGAAAAGATCATGAAAGATAACCTTACAAAATATGACCTTTACAGCAGCTTTCAAAGTTTACATTATGATGAAGAGCATAAGCATTAGAGACAGACCGGCCTTAGCTTGAATCCCCGTTTGTGACACTGAGCTGTGTGACCTCGGACAAGTTACTTAGCCTCTCTAGCCACACTTTCCTTGTATGTAAAATGGATAATAATAGTGCTGTTTGAGAACTAAAAGGAAGAGCAAATGTAAAGCACTTAGCACATGGCCGGCATATGATAAATACTCATTAAACAGGAACGAACTGTCATTATTATTTTACTATGTATGCAACTAGCTGCTTCATGTAACTGAAATGAATGATAACAACAGTGAAATTCACAATTCCAATTTAATAGATCTTTGCATTCCTACAGCATCTTTTATCTCAGAGGACCAAAGTTCTGGAAAATATTAATTCTTGTCTATTTTATTTGTACTAGTAAAGGCAGGAGCACATACAATGGCCTAGTTATTAAAAAGGACTATGACATAAAGAGCTAACTCCACATGCACGAAGTTATAGATAAATCCTTAACAGAATCTAGGTCTCTTATCTTGGATTTCTCATTAATTGTATCAGATTGTTTCCAGTGGATAAATATTATTTATTGGCAGTGTAAGTCAGTGCTGCTGATATATTACTCTTTTGGGGAGTGTTTGTTTTTTGAAAACTGCTCTCAAATTTTCTAAATGTGAATTTAAAAGTCTGTCAGTCTACGTGTGATAACACAAAACAGATTGTAAATGTAGTGGGATGCAATCAAGTCAAACAAATCCAGTGAGAGCGCCAGAAGCCTTTATTAGCACTGCTCCTGTTCACAGGCTTTGCTAATGATGGAACAATTGTTTGTGCTGATTTGTAGCTGGCATTGATATGCCGGCAGCAACACTTTCATCTAAAATCCAGCTCCAAATTTTTTTAATCCTGTCAATGAATTTGCTGTGTCTGCAAAGAGCAACTCCAAAGAACCTTTCTAAATAATAAGAAATAGGAATATTCAAGCAGTCTTTAATTCTAAATCCAGAGTGTTAGTTGAAATACACAATGATTTTTCTCTGTCATTGTTTTGTCATCTACTGGGATGCCTGCATCTCAACAACTTATGTGAATTAATAACTAAACACAGCTTTAAAATATTGAAATTGGCAGATGTTGAAGGAAAGTAAATGCTGAATTGCAGAAGGATATTCCAAGATTCCAAACTTATCTAACATTTTCTTCACAAAATAAAAAAATGCAAATGTGCTCTGGCTGCTGTTCACATTTACTGTGGGGACCAGTTTTTTTTTTTTTTTTTTTTTAATCAAACAGCACCTGCCTCTCTATTCAGAGATGTCTGCGTGTGAGGATAAGTGCAAACAACAAAGGCTTCAACTGTGGCAGAGGCTGCATCATTTTCTTGGAACTTGCCATTATGTTTCAGGTCAGAGATTGAGGTTTGCTGCAGGGAATGGGGCTTTTAATATTAGGTGAATGGATTTTTATAAGAGGTTGGGAAGCTTTGCGTCTTAAAGAGAAAAATGGTGTTTTAAAAATAGCCACATTTCTTTTGTACTGTAATTATCGGTGCATGACGAATCATTTTTTATTCTGTCTATGTGAGCAAAAGGAAGTATCCTCTACCCATCTCTGTGGGCTGACCATTTAAATAAATCAAAATGTTCCCATATTTGATCAGTTTATTGGAAATATATAGTTTATCTAGAAAATTGATCCTGAAATGTCACTTTTAAAAGAGCATGAAAAATGGTACAAATTCATCAATTCGTTTAGGAAGTCATTGTCATATGTTTGCTGCTTAAACAAGTAACATTGAGTAAATCAGTGATTTTTTTTCATAATTTCTATTGAGAAAAGTTTCACATTGTGTAAGTGACCAAATGTCTGAAATAGGAATAATCAGCCTTTCTTAAAAAATAAAATAGTAAAAATATGAAGGAATAGAACAATAACTTGAGCTGATCCCAGTTCTAACATTGATGGAGAAAGTCTAGGCAAATCAGTTAATTCCTCTGAGTTTCCATTTCTGCATCTATAAAGTGGAAATGATAAAATGTTCCCTTCCATGACTGTTGTGGACAGGAAATGAGAAAATGTTTGTGACGTACTTTGCAAATGGTAAAACATTTTAAGAGCATCAGAAAGAAAAAGAGAAACAAATGGGATGGTAATAATAATTACAATATGTAACAGTTTTAATGACAGTTATAATATTAAGTATAATAATTCTTATTATTGAAAATACTAAATCCTGCCCAGAAGTGCTAGAAATTGGTAAATCCTCAGACCATGTCTTCATTATGTTCTTAACTGGAGGAAAAGGAGACATACATACCCTGTAATCCCACATTAAAAAGTGAAATCTATTATAACTGAAGTGGACTCCAGACCACATTAACACATGTTCTTTGAAACAAACTCTGCAGACCTTAAATTAAATGCATCTTTCTGCTTTTTTCAAAAGCAAAGTGTAGGCTGATAGAGGATCGTATTCTTGAAATGGCTTGCTAGGGTTTCAAACGACCTTTGCCCACCGAGCAGGGGAGTCGCATTAACTTGCTAAGGTTGTTTGTCTCTCTCATTAGATCAATCACTCACATGTTATGCAGTGTTACATGAAGTCACCAGTCAGTGACAAGCATTCATTATCGTATCTTTGCTCTAAAATGCAAAGCTTTACATTGTTCCAGGAATAAAATTTTTTAAATAGCATCCTTTAAAAGTTTCAGGGATTTTAGATGGAAAACTATTATACATTTCTACTTCTGAAACCAACATTCCAGGAAAATATATACACTTTTAATAGTAGATGCTGTAAATATACAACTTCCCACACTCCCTCTCTGGGTAATAAGTTGTGTGCTGAGAAGGTAAGGCAGTAGGTGGTTGCCTATGAAGAATTTATAGCACCACAGTTCATCTAGTTAAAGATGAGACACAGATGCAACTAGCATATATAGGTTGCCAATTCTTCCTCCTCCTCTAGTAGTTGTACATTATCTGCCTAGATAAGCTAGAAATACATTTCCCAAAATTTCTTTTCCTATATAGTCCTGGGTTAGTGATGGCCACAAGAGAAGTTTGGATGAGATTTGGGGAGTGGAAATGTACCAACAGCCATTACGCTCAAAAGATCATGGTTGCTCAAGGCAGGGAGGAACAGACAAAACTAGAAAATGGCAGTTTTGGTTTGTCCTGCTCATCCTGACCTATGTCCCTAGCTGAATGCCTGTCCAGCCAAACAGTAGCAACATTAGGCTACCAGCAAACCCTTTGCAGGTGAACTTGGAGGCACCAGCCACAAAGATCCAGCAACCTTCATCAGACTTCTATCCCAGTACTATTTATTATGTTTTATGTTTTATTTTGTGGGTACATGGTAGATATACACACACACACACACACACACACACACACACATATATATATACCCCATTTTCCATGATATTACATGCCTATATCAAAACATCTCATGTACTACATATATATATGTATCATGTACCCACAAAATTAAAAATAACATATATTATTTATATTATATATTATAATATATATCTACCACGTAGATATGTATGTATATGTGTGTATGTATATGTGTTTATGTGTATGTGTATATGTGGTATATATATATATATACCAAATGCCTTCAAATGACTTATACCATATATATATATATATATATATATGGTACATACATGATACATGAGATGTTTTGAAACAGGCATGTAATATGAAATAAGCATATTGTGGAAAATGGGTTATCAATCCCCCTCAAGCATTTATCCTTTGAGTTACAAACAATCCAATTACATCTTTTATGTTATTTAAAACTATACACTTACTATTGACTGTAGTCACCCTGTTGTGCTATCAAATAGCGTTTTCATTATTTCTATTTTTTAAAATCTATTAACCATTCCCACCTCCTCCCCTCACTCCTTGAACCCCCGCCCACCCCTCACAAACCATCCTTCCCATTCTCTGGGAACCATCCTTCTACTCTCTATGTCCATAAGTTCAATTGTTTTGATTTTTAGATCCCACAAATAAGTGAGAACATGGGATGTTTGTCTTTCTGTGCCTTGCTCACTTAACGTAATGATCTCCAGTTCCATCCATGTTTTTGCAAATGACTGGATCCTAGTACTCTTTCTGATTCTATTCTAGCAGTTGGACATGCATGGCTTCCCACAAGCTCTAACTCTTTAATTTGCTTACTCACTGTAGACCTGGTTGAAATCAGGTCCACTTATCAACGCAAGTCATTTGAAGGCATTTGGTATAAGGCGAAAACATGGGCTTCAAAGTCTTACAAATCTATGCATTCATCCTCTTTCCTCTTCTATCTGTATGACTTTAACCTCCTTAAGCCTCCATATCCACTTTCAAAATAAATGGCAATAAATCTTGCCTTGGTCCTAAGGGAAAAAACAAAAATTCCTTTGATGAGAATCTTAATCCTAAATTAGTCTTCATGTAGATTTGAAGCTAGAACACACTCTACCTGTGTAAGCCATAAAAATCTCAAGTTCAGGACTTAAAGTGACCCATGGTGGTTAGTTCATCCTAGGCAAAGGAAAAGAGAAAATACAGAAACTTTTCAAAGGAGAGCTCCTCAAACCCAGGACACGAAGCATCCAAATAAATTTCTAAGAAACATGAGCTCACAACAAACATTTTTTTAATTACTCAATGAAACTAAACACTGTTAACAATAGTAAGTAGAAACAACAAATAAGAGAATCTGACCTTCAGATCTGACAAATATTGAATTTGAAAACAAATATAGATTTCCTGTTTTGTGCCAGACACTATTCTAGGTGACTGGGATTAGGCATATCAGTGTGCAAAACTGCATTTCTGCAATTTTTGTGATATTATCTATATTTAAATGTTAAAGAATGTCTTTAAATTTCTTAAAGAAGTATAAGAGATTGTCAATATTTCAGCAGATTTGATAAAAAATAGAACATGAAGAAATGGAAATAATAATCATTGAAAACTCAATGGACAGGATAAGCTATAGGTTAAAAATCACCAAAGAGAGACCTCAAGCTTTGATCCAGAATGCAGCACAAAGAGACAGAAAATTTGGCAGGGGGGCGAATTCTACCCTGAGTGGTAAAAACCCTGTCTCTACTAAAAATACAAAAAATGTTCTGGGCATGGTGGCAGGCACCTATAATCCCAGCTACTCGGGAGGCTGAAGCAGGAGAAGCACAGCTGAAGCAGTGCTTTATTAGGAGAAAACTGAGGCAGACAGAGAGGTGATATTCCAAGTGATAATTGTCGAGATTCTTCCAGAAGTGAAAGGTAGCAATTCTCACACTCAAGAAGTCCAACAAATCACGAGTTTAAAATGAGAAAATAAAAGTTTTATATGGCAACAAATGTAATGGTAATATATTTCATAATATTTGGTTTAGGTAACAATGTACATTTTTAAATTTTATTTTATTATTGCTGTTATTTTTATTTTTTGAGATGGAGTTTCGCTCTTGTTTCCCATGTTGGAGTGCAATGGCATGATCTCGGCTCACTGTAACCTCTGCCACCCAGATTCAAACAATTCTCCTGCTTCAGTCTCCCAAGTAATTTCAAACAATTGCCACCATGCCTGGCAAATATTTTGTGTTTGTAGTAGAGATGGGGTTCACCATGCTGGGCAAGCTGGTCTCATACTCCTGACCTAAGATGATCAACCTGCCTTGGCCCCTTAAAGTGCTGGGATTACAGGCGTGAGCCACCTCGCCCTGTAGTAACAATGTATATTAAAAGATGGAATGAAATTTTGACTCCCTCTTAGAGACGTGCAAGTGCCTGCATGTCTCAGGAACCTGACAGTGAAGGCCTGCCTTAAATTCTGCAACTTGAGTCTCGCTTGCCTCACTCTTGTCCTGGTTCTTAGAGACAAAAATCTGTATCCGTGGTCTTATATTTAGAATTGTCTAATTAAATATATTTTTTAAATATACTGAGCTGTTTTTACAAAATTTATACCTATCTTTACTATGTTGTGATCCCATTTATATTTGGTATAATGCAACCACTGTAAATGTAGTTTGTTGAATTTAATGTAACCACCTCAACAACCAAGATACAGAACATCTCCATCAGCCAAAAAATTTCTCTTTTAATACTTTGCTGTTACCCACCTCCACCCCAATCCTTGGAAACCACTGACCTGCTTTCTGTCATTATAATTTGAATTTGACTTTTTGCAGTTTCATATAAATGGAATCATACAGTATTTACATGTTGTTTTTAAATAATAAGATATAAAAAATATCTAAAATAGCCTTTTGATTTGGGTAGAAAAAAGTAAAGAAAAAAAGGGGAAAAGTATCTAAAATAGCACTTCTCTAAAAATGTCAAATAACAGATATGGGTTATCTTTAGTAGCAGGAAGTAAAAATGGTATTGGATATATTTGTGGGGTTTTCCATTTACACTTTTCTTTTAAGTACTAGAGGGATTTTCAGGAGAAATACCTAATGTAGATGACTGGGTGATGGATGCAGCCAACCACTATGGCACGTGTATACCTATATAACAAATCTGCTTGTTCTGCACATGTGCCCAGAACTTAAAGTATAACAAATAAATAAACAAATTGCAATTCAGTTAATAAAACAATATTGCATAAGACAACTTGAAACAAATTAGCAGAATTATCATTTTTACACTCTTAGTTAACTTGCATTTAATATCAGCTTTTGTTTTTCTCAAAGTTCCATCATGGATGTAAGTTAAACCCTAAAGATGCTTAAAAATAAAAAGAATCTTTCACTCTACAGTAATTAAAATCAATGCCAGGGCTAGAGGTATTCAATTGAGTGGCCAAATCATAAATAAAATCATCTCATACCAAATAATTCATATGCATGGCCACTCAACACATTTAATAAGACTCAAAGTGTTCAGTTTTGAAAGAAAGAAATAATCCTACCATCACTAAATTTAAACTTTTTAAAACAAAAAATTAAATATTAAGTTAATTTTCTATGCATCTCTACTTTTTAATGGAGATGTATCATCTTTGAGCATGTTATAATATGTTTTTATAAACATGTCAAAATAAAGAATTTTTAAAGCATACTATAAATTAGAACAGATACCATTGCCATTTTTAATAATGAATCCCCTGTGACATATTCACAGATCTTTGATGATTTTCAAACCACAATTTGGGAAGGAAAAATTAATCTATGTTTACAAGCCTGAGAAGGAAAAATTAGTCTATGTTTACAGGCCACTCATGGGTCCCTAATTACTGTGCGTCACCAAATAAAATAGTCTCTTTTGTTAGTTGCCTTCTTTGAAGTCTCTGCATTATTTGATGCCATTTATCAGACGTCTCTTTCTTCCTTATAATCCTCTCATTTTTTATTTCAAGCCAACATTGTATTATTACTACTCCAACATGTATGGCTGATCTGTGTGTGCTTCTTCAGAAGCTTCTCTCCTTTCTCCATGGCTTTTCTTACCACTTTGTGCTTCCTTTCATTTGCTTAATCCTCTGTGCTGATCTTGGGCCTCTTCCCCGAGTCCTGCTTCATCTTGCAGGCTACATTTCCTGGGTACCCTATCAGCTAGCTTCGTTAACCAAAGGCAAGCACTAGAGGGAGAAAGGAGGCACGTGCAGGAGACACTGGGGAAAGGTGGGCAGATAAAGGATGGGAAAAGCCAGGATATTTCTCTGCCTCCCTCTTGCTGCCTTGGGTGCTATTTCTGATGTCTTGACTAGAACTGGATGCCTCAAGACAGCTTCACTCACTGGGCTCATGGCGCAGCCTGTAGTCCCAGCTCCTCGGGAGGCTGAGGCTGGAGGATTGCGTGAGTCCAGGAGTTCTGGGCTGTAGTGTGCTATGCGGATCAGGTGTCCGCACTAAGTTTAGCATCATTATGGTGACCTCCTGGGAGCTGGGGACCACCAGGTTGCCTAAGGAGGGTGAATTGGCCCAGGTCAGAAACAGAGCAGGTCAAAACTCCCATGCTGATGAGTAGTGGGATTGTGCCTGTGAATAGCCACTGCACTCCAGCCTGGGCAACACAGTGAGACCCCAACTCTGAAAAAGAAAGAAAGAGAGAGAGAGTAGGGGAGGGAGCGAGGGAGGGAGGAAGGAAGGAAGGAAGGAAGGAAGGAAGGAAGGAAGGAAGGAAGGAAGGAAGGAAGGAAGGAAGGAAGGAAGGAAGGAAAAGAAAGAAAGAAGATAACTTCACTCACATGTCTGACAGTTTTTTCTGGCTGTTGGCTTGATTTTCCTCCATAGGACCTTTTGTCTCTTAGTAGGCTAGACTGGGCTTCCTCACAGCATGGTGGTCTAAGGGTTTCATGAGGGAACACTAAAGCTGCAAGACCTCTTACCTAGAGGTTCTAGAATTTGCACAATGTCACATCCACCACATTCTGTTGGTCAAAGCAAGTCACAAGGCCAGGTCTTATTCAAAGAGTTACAGAAACAGACATTGTTTATTGATGAGAAGAACAGCAATATGACATTGCAAAAGACATGAAAACAAGGGGATGTGGTTCATTGGAAGCCATTATTTTAACAGTCTACCTCACTGAGTCCGAGTTCCAGAAACAGTACCTCTCTCCTAAACACAGTTTATGCTACCCCTAATCTCTGGGTTGTTCCCATTTGTCTCTTTTGCTCCCTTGTCACCTGTTTAACCAACTCCTTGCATTAGATTGCTTCTGGTTTCCCAGTTTGACCATAAATGTATGTCTGCTTTCCTACTTTAACAGTGATAACTCCTAAATCTGGATCTGAGTTTGATCTTTCATCCAAAATCCAATTCTAAATTTCCAAAGGCCTTAAGGGTATTTCCACGTTAATTTTTTCTTCTTCATCTCAAACCCAGCATATTCAAAACTGAATTCAGATTTCTCTCCCCTGGACAATGACCCTCCTCAATTTCTCTATACTCTAAACCAGGATTCAGATAACTATAGTAAGCAGCCAAGTCTATCATTGCCAGTGTTACTGGAACACAGCCAAGCTCAATCATTTTTGTATTGTCTATGTCTACTTTCACTCTACACGGCAGAACTGAGTAGTTGCAACAGAAACTGTATAACCTGCAAAGTTCAAAATACTTACCATCTTGCCCTTTACAGAAAAATTTCCCAACCCCTGTTTTAAACCTCTGATTCTTTTCCTTCTCTACGTATAATCAGGGACCCCAGGTTATCAATTCAGTTCATGTTCTTCATTTCTAAATAATTTCAATATTCTTTTATCTGTCTCTCCCTATCTCTGTCCTAATCTATCCTGCATATTTCAACTAAGTTGATGGTTGCAAAATACCATTTTAATTCTGCCGCTCATCTAACAATTCCACAGTGACTTGTTATAATAACAAAACTTGTTTTTTAACAAGTTTTGTTACTATAACAAACTCAGTCATCCTTCAATCAACTCACCTCAATTTAACCAACAAAATTTAATTTGCGCTTTCCCCAAACTGTCTTTTCCAATCAGGTTCACCTTCTTTTTCTTCTTTTACTTGATTTCAGAACCTCTGAATGTAGAAATTCTGTCCCATTGCTTATGGCTCCAGCACCAAGCACAGTGACTGGCATATGGTGAACAGGGAATACTACTGATTTTCTTTCTACTTCTGTCACTATTTATATACTGCCTCTACTTAATACACTCTTTCCCTGCTTTCCTATCTATCCAACCCTCTCTATTGTCACTGGTCTCATATTTTCTCCAAATTTAATTATCAGTTTTTTTCTTCAAATTCCTGACATTAAAAATTTATGTCATCCATCTCTTCACTGCCTCAATGCACAAAGAGATATAGAATTAGCCACAATTCTGTCTTGAGACAGTAAGAACATGCCATCTATTTATGCACAATTTGTACCATCCTTTCTCATACCTCACACTTTCCTGTGAGGTATTTCTTATTTGAGATCTGTCCAAAGTTATAAGGCTTTCTAACTATTAGAAGCCAAAATGACAATCCAGATTCTAAATTTATACATTCTAAATTCGAGATTCTAAATTTATAGGGCTTTCTAGGAAATTTCAGATGAATTGTATGAGATAAGGTTTTATTCTAGAATCTTTTTGTAAATTGAGATATATGATATTTCAGATGGGGAAAGAAGAAAGAGTTGGGATAATCATATAAAAACACTTATTCATAGGTTATTACTCTGAAGAGAAAAAGTTCACTTACACAGAATCTAAAACTTACAACCTGTATTTTCAGTGTTTGTGAACAAAAATCTGCAACAATACAGATATTCCTGGAAACCAACTCTTATGATAGTTATGTGCCGGAGCGGTTTCTTACCAGCTTAAGGGGACAGATTGTTAAATATTCAGAAATTTTACAAAGCAAGTGTCAAACCATTGGCAACTTGAAACCACCCATCGTATGGGTATTTTCATCGAAATTGGCAAATGCTGTAAATCAAGGGGTTTTTTTCTTAAGAGTTTTCCAGCATGTCACTGATATATCTATATCTATCTATATATATATATATCCATATCTAGATCTACAGATATATACAAAATATGGGGAAGAGAGAGACAGAGCACAGTTATAGTCACAAGAGGAATAATGGTTGAACAAGACGCACATTAGTGTAGAATTTACTGTTCCAGGCCATGTTCTAAGTCCTTAGCATATATTCAGTGGTGTGCTCCAGCCAGCCAGTACTAGCTTACAAAAGCAAATGGTGCACATCTTTCCCAACTCCACGTTCAGTGGCCTCACATTGGTAGCTTGAAATCAGCCATAATGGGAGCATTTACACCACAGAAATCAATAAATACTATAAATCAGGACTTTCTATGCAGAGAGCCAGTTGTTAAACATTCAGCAGCACATCACTGGTCTTAAGCCAAACTTTTATAAGACAGCATACTCGCTTTTGGCCTCCTAATACATTATTCGGTATAGTTTGATAAACAAGAAAACTGTGCCTGAGCAGAGGAAAGGGAAGAAAACATATGAGATTACAAAAAGTAATGGAAGACTTTGAATTTGGTACAACTAGTCTGTGATAATAGAAGGGCTAGGAGATAAACATATTATCTTCCCTTTACCATATAGCTTCTGGGAAAAGTTGGCACTGTGTTCTCTCCATCATGCTGGCTGTCTTAGTACATTTTGAGCTGCTGTAACAGAATACCTGAGACTGGATGATTTATCATGAACAGAAATTTATTGGCTCACAGTTCTGGAGGCTGAGAGTCCAAGATTGAGGGTCTGGCATCTTGCAAGGGCCTCTTTGCTGACTCATCCCATGGTGAAAGACAGAATAGCAAGAGAGGAAAAGAAAAGGGGAGGGAGAGGGGAGATAAAGGAAGAAAGAGAGAGAAAAATAATGGAGCTGAACTTGCCCTTTTATAATAAACCCACTTCCAAAACAATATTACTAATGTACTCATGAGGGTCAGAGACCTTAATGCCTAGTTACTTCTTAAAGGTGCTACCTCTTGACACTGCTACAATGGCAATTAAACTTCAACGTGAGTTTTAGAGGAGACAAACATTCAAGCCATGACACTGGAAAGCCCTCCCCATGAATACCAGAACTGTGAATGGTTCAATCATTTGACTTCTGTTTCTTGAGAAGCACTGACTCTTTTGATCAGATAACATTTGCCATGAATAAGTAGGTACTTCCTAAAGCCAGCACTTTGAATTTAGGCAAGTTCAAAGTGCTAATAAAGTAGGGGAAAAGGTGGGACAGAGATAAGGGGAGGAGAGAATGAGAGTAAAGAAAGAAATTAAGAATGGCATCTAGAATGGAACGAGTTTCTGAAAGTTAAGTTTTCACTATAACTAGGGCTTCCTTGATGTTTTGAAATCAAACGTGATGCCTGCATTTGCCACTCTTCCTCCCATCCCCAACAATTCTCAGTATGTATATGAGAGAAATACAGGCCATTGCTTGCAAGGAAAATTATGACAAGCTTCTTCTGTCATATTTTTGCAATTGTCTAGGGCTCAGAAACAAAAGTTGATTTTCAATTCAAGTTTATGCTTCCTTTATGGGAAGAGCTGTCCAGTGAATTAGATAATGTTGTAAATTTCCTAGCAGAAATAAAAATCCAAGAAGTTAAAGAAGGGTAATGAAAAAAGTTACAAATAGTAAGTTATCTGCCATGAACAATAATTGCTGGGTCTTGAGAGTAGGAGAGGGAGGTGTACGGCTTAATTAGGACATGTCCTCCCAGAACTTCGATGGTCTCCCAGCTGCTCTGCTTAGTTTGCCACAGACCATGGTCTTTCTTCGTACATCTAAATTAGCATCTGCAGCCACTCTCCTAGAAATATAAATTTTAGCTCAGTGCTTCATTTTGAACACCCACTGGTCTAGAACTAAATTTAAATCATGAATGGAGTATTATTTAAAGGTTGATGATCTTCACACAGCATCACTTCAGCAATGAAACTAAAACCTCCTGAACAGAAATTCTGCTTTATAGCCAAGAGTGTCATGGTTAGGTTTCAGTTTAATAAAATTGTCTTGCGTTTGTAACTTTAAATGCCTTATGCATTTTTTTTCAACATGCTATTGTAGTGTATACAACATTGAGCATGAAATGATTAAACAATAAAACCTTGAGCTAATTTGTAAGTGGGGGTGGATAATAGAGTCCCATGGAAGTGCCACGGTCTTTCCCAAATTGAGGGAGGAGGGGTAGAGTCTCTTTTCATCTCTAACTTCAGGCAAGACCAACTCTTTCGTCCCCAAGGGGATTTTAAACCTCCATTCCAAAGGAAATACTGATTCTACTGAGAAGATTCAGGATCCAGTGTGATCACAAAACTTAACTTCTTTGTTATGCTTGTGAAAGCTGGAAGCAAAGTGTTTTAGTTCATTCTCACACTGGTATAAAAAAAACAGACTGGATAATTTATAAGAAAAGAGGTTTAATGGCTCAAGGTTCTGCAGGCTGTATAGGAAGCGTGGCTAGTGAGGCCTCAGGAAACTTACAGTCATGGTGTAAGGCAAAGGAGAAGCAGGCATGTCTTCACATGGCCAGAGCAGGAGAAAGAGAGATGGGGGGAAGGTGCTACACACTTTTAAACAAACAGACCTCATGAGAACTCACTCAATATCATGAGAATAGCACCAAGGGGGATGGGGTTAAGCCATTAGAAACTGTCCCTATGATCCAATCACCTCTCACCAGGCCCCACTTCCAATTTGACATGAGATTTGGGCAGAGACGCAGACCCAAACCATAACACAGGAGTTATGCAGTGGAAGCATGTGGTTGGGAAAGGGCAGGTAATCTTATTATTAGACAATCACAAATCTGCAGAACCCAGAGATTTTTTTCTTTCCACTTGAAAA